CACCACATAAGCAAAAAGAAAAACGCCAGAAGTGGCGCTGTGGCTCAAGTAGTAGAGTGCTAGCCTTGAGTTGAAGAGCTGAGGGACAGCACTCAGGCCCAGAGTTCAGGCCCTACGACTGGACCCAAAAAAAAAAAGAGTTTCACAGATTTTCCTGCCTGTGTTCCTGACTTGGATATTCTCAGGTCTCAGCCTCCTTAGTAGCTAGCATTATTGGTGTGAGTCACCAGTGCCCAGGTATAATAATTTCTTAATATTAGAAAAATCACTGATTTCCATTTTGTCTCATAAATGTCAAATACTGTACTTTTAACTTGTAGTTTATTCAAGATCTATATAAGATTTCCATGGAAATACATCTTTTAAGGCTGTTAGTCTGTAGATTGACTCTTTGCCTCTTACCCATGCAACACATTTGTTATCATCCCAGATTTTACTGATATTGTTCCCATAGTATTGATTAACATGCTTTTCTGTCCTCTGCGTTTCCTATAGAGTGCAATTAATTTATATTTTTGGCAAGGTTTTTTTCTTATTAGAATCAAGTTTATAGATGTGTTAGAAAATAAGATCTGTATAATATGAAGTAGACAATGGTTGATAGGAATTTAAGAGAGAAATGAAAGAGTGAGTGGCCCAGGTTAAGAATAGCTTTATGGAGGTGGTGTTAGAAAATGTGTGGGAAGAGGAAAGCAGATATGATACTGTATACAAGGAAAGTAGAAAAGGAAATAGGAAGACTCTGATCTGGAGGACAAAGAATTTGTAGTTGATGTTGTACTAAATATAAAACTTACCAAAATTTATTAAAACTGGCATGAGCTGATAAAGGTGTTATTTTAGAATTTAAGGGGGCAGAGGAAGGGTGGTCACTAAAAGAACATAGTAGAAGTCATTCCAGTGAAATAGGAAGATTTCATAGATGTTTGTGGAAGAGGTTGTCAGTACTGCCAAGGTGACAAATGAAATAAAAAGTAACAAGAATTTATATGACTTAGGAATATAAGGAAGGGGGCTAGGAAGGTAGCTCAGCAGTAGAGTGCATGCCTTGCAAGCATGAGGCCCTGGGTTCGATTCCTCAGCACCACATAAACAGAAAAATCCGGAAGTGGCGCTGTGGCTCCAGTGGTAGAGCGCTAGCCTTGAGCTGAAGAGCTGAGGGACAGCGCTCAGACCCAGAGTTCAGGCCCCATGACCGGCAAAAAAAAAAAAAAAGGAATATAAGGAAGTATTAAGTCTTTTATAATTAGGAATTCTCTTGATGTTATTCTCTTAATTAGTTTTTTTTGGGGGGAAGGAGTTGGTCAGTCATGACCTCAGCCTAGGTACTGTCCCTGAGCTCTTTTGCCCAAGGCTAGTGCTCTACTACTTTGAGCCACAACTCCACTTCCAGTTTTCTGGTGGTTAGTTGAAGATTAGAATCTCACCTTCCTGCCTGGGCTGACATCAAACCACAGTCCTCAGATCTTAGCCTCTTGAGTAGCTAGGATTACAGGCATGAGCTACTAGTGCCGGACCCAGCTTCGTAACTAATTCTTCTTGAGTTATTTATTTATTTATTTATTTGGATCCGGTCGTGGGGGGCCTGGGCACTGTCCCTCAGCTCTTCAGCTCAAGGCGAGTGCTCTACCACTTGAGCCACAGCCCCACTTCCGGCCTTTTTTTTTTTTTTTTTGCTTATGTGGTACTGAGGAATCGAACCCAGGGCCTCATGCATGCAAGGCAAGCGCTCTACCACTGAGCCACCTTCCCAGCCCCTTCTTGAGTAATTTAGACAGTACTTGTTTGGGATATTTTTCTCCCTTATTTCCCTTTTTTTTTTTTTTTGGTAGTGGTGGCACTGGAAATTGAATCCAGAGCCTTGAGCCTGCTAGAAAAATTCTATATCATTCAACCATATCACCCAGCCTTTCTTTCATTAACTCTTACATTCTGATCCCTTAGCTACTTAAAAGTATATACTGATACAGATAGAGAAAAACATAGGAATATTTCAGCTTTACAGCTTCCTTAGGAATATATGAGATACCTGAAAGAAGCAGTTAAAAAAATGCTATGCAGCAATTTTTTAATGGCTAATAATAAATGAGCACACTTGATGAAAAGCCTGAATTCCTGATTTCTGGGCTCCTGTACTAATTAGCTGTTGACTTTAAGGGCTGTGTCCTCTTTCTAGATTTGGACTAGTCTTAATGCTAAGACTCTGGAGTCTCAGCAATAAGTCCTAGCCTTCTACTGCTACGGGATATTTTTTAAAAATTTTTAAGTGGGGGCTGGGAAGGTGGCTCAGTGGTAGAGTGCTTGCCTTGCATGCATGACGCCCTGGGTTTGATTCCTCAGCACCACATAAGCAGAAAAAGCTGGAAGTGGTGCTGTGGCTCAAGTGGTAGAGCGCTAGCCTTGAGCTGAAGAGCTCAGGGACAGTGCCCAGGCCCAGAGTTCAGGCACCAGGACAAAAAAAAAAAAGTGATGTAAAAAGGTTACAATTCCATACATCAGATTATCAGTACAGTGCATCTTGATCAGTGACACCCCTTCTACTCTTCTCCATTCTCTCCTGCTCTCCCTACTTTCAAGTTATGGTAGTTCAGCTCTTATATAATGTACATTGAATATAATGACTACAATTGCTCAGCCTGCCTCTCTCCTTTTATATATGTGCTATGGGATATTTTGATTTAACTTAAGAAAGGATTGTTTATTTTTATTATTTTTGAATTTTATAAATTTTATTCTAAAAGTGATGTACAGAGGGGTTACCAATTCATAAGTCAGGTAATCCCTTCATTCTCTCCCAATTTAGTTTAGTTCATTTTCAACATAGCTTCTAAAGAGAAGGGATTTTTTTTTTTTTTGTCGGTCTTGGGACTTGAACTCTGGGCCTGGGCGCTGTCCCTCAGCTCTTCAGCTCAAGGCGAGCGCTCTACCACTTGAGCTACAGCGCCACTTCCGGTTTTCTGGTGGTTTATTGGAGATAGGAGTCTCACGGTCTTTCCTGCCCGGGCTGGCTTTGAACCGCGATCCTCAGATCTCAGCCTCCTGAGTAGCTAGGATTACAGGCGTGAGCCACCAGCACCAGGCAAGAGAAGGGATTTTTAAAGTGATGTAGAAAAGTTTTTTTGTTTTTTTTTTTTTTCATTTGGTCATGGGGCTTGAACTCAAGGCCTGGACCCTGTCTCTGGGGCTGTTTTGCTTAAGGCTAGTACTGTACTACTTTGAGCCACAGCGCTACTTCTGGTTTTCTGATAGTTAATTGGAGGTAAGTCTCATGGACTCTCCTGCCTAGGATGGCTTGAACTGGAATCCTCAGGTCTCAGCCTCCAGAGTAGCTAGGATTACAGGCATAAGCCACTAGCACCTGGCCAAAAGTTTTAAATTATTAAAACACAACGAATTGTTACTATTTAAATGAAGTAGCTACTTTTATATGTTTTTTGGAGCTTAAATCTACAATTATTGAAGAGTTAAAATAACTTGTCTTTTTGGTAGTTTGCTCTTAATGGCTACAAGTCCTGTTGGTTGAATTTACTTGCTATGTAGAGGATCTTTATTTGGTAAAATGAGAGTGGCAATGTCTCAGTGTATGAGTAATACCTAGCAAGTATGCTAAGGATCTACGTTAGTTTGTGGTTACTAAAAATTTTCATAAACTGTCAAGCTGTTATGACTAAAGTATTTTATATAAAAGAGATTTTTTTTCAGTGCTGAGGATGGAAGCCAGTGTCTTGTGCATGCTAGGCATGTACTCTATCACTGAGTTATACCCCAGCTCCAAAGTATAATTTATTTTGATTATAGAATTGTATGAAAATATACATCTCTTGGGGCTGGGGCTGTGGCTTAAGGGGTAGAATGCCTGTTTGGCAAACAGGAGGTCCTGAGTTCAACCCCAGTACCACACACACCAATAAAAACAAAATACTTTAAAAAAAAAAAAAAAGAAAAGGAAAAAATGTACAAGTGAAAAAAAAATGCTTTAAGGAATTTCTTTATACTGATCAGCAAGTTTTACCAGTGACTCATGACAAATCTAGTTTCATGTTTACCCAACACACTCTGTCCTCCTCTGTCCCTGCATATTTTTAAGAAATTCCTACTTACTTTTGTTTCATCCAAAAACATTTTATTATTTCTAAAATACAAGGATTCTTGGGCATATCTTTTGATATTTTAAGAAGTCTACCCGATAGGCTGGGAAGATGGCTCAGTGGTAGAATGCTTGCCTCACGTGCATGAGACCCTGGATTCGATTCCTCAGCACCACATAAACAGAAAAAGCCGGAAGTGGTCCTGTGGCTCAAGTGATAGAGCAGTGCTAACCTTGAGCTGAAGAGCTCAGGGATAGCACCCAGGCTCTGACAAAAAAAAAAAAAAGTCTACTTGAAGAATTTATATAGTACAATTTAGAATTTGGTCAGCAACAAGCAGGTTGGCAGTTGTTTGTTACACAAGGTCTCATTTTGTTTCCCAGGATGATCTCAAACTGGTTGAAATGGTCCTTCATTCTTAGTCTCAAGAGATGACTGCAGGCATGTATGAACATGCCTAATTCCAGTTGGAAGTTATTTTTAATGTATAATCCTCCTCCTCTCCCCCTATTTGTAGGGCTTGAACTCAGCGCCTGGGCACTGTTGCTGAGCTCTAGTTGCTCAAGGCTAGTGTTCTACCACTTTGAGCAACGTGTCCACTTCTTGTTTTCTGGTGGTTAATTGGAGATAAGAGTCTCATGGACTTTCCTGCCTGGGCTGGCTTTGAACTACAGTCCTCAGGTCTCAACCTCCTGAGTAGCTAGAATTGGAGGTGTGAGCTACTAGCACCCAGCATGTTGTATAATCTTAATGTTTGGTTCCTATCCTAAAACTTAAGCCAATATTTGGAAACACTTGGTTATTTAAAAAGATAGCCTTATTATTTAAAAACATAAGCCTCAAATTTGGGTACTTTTCAATATTTAAGAAAAATTAAATTTGTTTTCTTTGATATGTTTCTCATCTTTTTAGGTGCGTGCTTTCCAACATGCCTTCAGCACTAATGACTGCTCCAGGAATGTCTATATCAAGAAGAATGGCTTTACTTTACATCGAAACCCCATTGCTCAGAGCACTGATGGTGCAAGGACCAAGATTGGTTTTAGTGAGGGCCGCCATGCGTGGGAAGTATGGTGGGAGGGCCCTCTGGGCACTGTGGCAGTAATTGGAATTGCTACAAAACGGGCCCCCATGCAGTGCCAAGGTTATGTGGCATTGCTGGGCAGTGATGACCAGAGCTGGGGCTGGAATCTAGTGGACAATAATCTGCTGCATAATGGAGAAGTCAATGGCAGTTTTCCACAGTGTAATAATGCACCAAAATATCAGGTGAGAAACAGATATTTTCTCAACTGTAGGCCTTGTTGAAATCACACATAAATTTGTTTAAACTTAGAAATTTTTATTTAGCAGTTATGAGGTATTTTTGGTTATAATTGTTTAAATGATATATATTGTTTAAGTGATATTTATTTCCTAATACATATTTGACCTTGAACAACTTATCTTAGGTATAGATCAGGGGTTACCAAGCTTTTTCTGAACAAGACTAGGGTAGATACTTTAAGCTTTGCAATTTGTATGGTCTCTGTCACAGCTTTCAACTGTTGTTACAGCATGAACCTAACTATAGATACTGTGAATGAGTGAATGTGACTGTGCCCAAGTAACTAGTTATTGTCTTCAGTTATGGTCCAGTGACTATAGTTCGCCTGCTCATCTCTTGCTTGAAGTTTTCATCTTTCCTATGTTGTGGCACATCCAAATCTTTTCTTGTGTATAGGCTAGTACTGAGGCTTGAGCCCAGGTACTGCTTTTGGCCAGCTTTTGTGCTCTAAGCTGGTATCTAACTAATTTGAAGTACACTTCCACTTTTAGCTTTTTCCTGGCTAATTGGGGGTAAGACTCTCAAGATTTTGTCTTCCTAGGCTGATTCCAAACTTTGATCCTTAGATGTCAGCCTCCTGAGTAACAATTATAGATTTGTTGCCTGTCCCAAATCTATTTTAGATATCTTAGATACCTCAGCCCATCAAATACATCTCTGTGTATTTGACACACACACACACACACGCACACGCACACGCACACACACACACATGCATATTCACCTTTTGGTATTTACTAATTTGTGCATTCAAAGCCCTTGGAGGCACTTGACTGTAGAGACAGGCAAGTTCAGGCAAACTTATATGTTTTTATTCTTTTCATTTTAACCTTAAGCCATATTCATTCTATTTTAGAGACAATTTGGGTACTTTTTAATATTTAATTCCTATTGCTAAAAGCCTACCACAGATTTGGCAGATGGTAAGATACAAAAATCTGATAAAAACTAAAAGTCTTAAGGAACTAAGACTTTTGCTTGATTAATTTTTTTTTATTTTATTTTTTTTTTGTGCTGGCCCTGGGGCTTGAATGTAGGGCCTGGGTACTGTCCCTGAGCTTTTGTGCTCACGACTAACACTCTGTCATTTATGCCTCAGCTCTGCTTCTGGCTTCTTTAATAGTTAGCTGGAGGTAAGAGTCTTACAGACTTCCTTGCCCCAACTGGCTTTGAGTTGCAATCCTCAGACCTCAGCCTTCTGAGTATTTCTTGGTATTTCTTGTAATGACATCAAGCAAGTCATACTAAAGTAGAACTAAAAATACATCCCATTTTCTGATGCATGAAAGTTAGAATTTCGTTTCACAGAAAAAGTTGGAGGATTCTTTCATATAATCCCTTATTGTACTTGCAGGCACGTACCCTATAGAAAGGGGTATTTTGGCCTACTATTGTAGAGAAGGTCTTGTTATTATACTCGCAGTAAGTTTGTGTTAGAAGTCCTTAAGTCTTGTTTTCAGGCAATTAGCATGTTTGATTTCAGTTCTCAGTTATTTATTTATTTATTTTTGGTGGTTGTGGGCCTGAACTCTGGGCCTGGACATTGTCCCTGAGCTCTTCAGCTCAAGGCTAGCATTCTAGCACTTGAGCCATAGCACTACTTCAAGCTTTTTCTGCTTATGTGGTGCTGAGGAATCGAACCCAGGGCCTCATGCATGCAAGGCAAGCACTCTACCACTGAGCCACCTTACCAGCTCCTCTTCTCAGTTTATTGAGACTTGTTTTATTCTCAGCATATAGTTTATTTTCAAGGCTATTCCATGTGTGCTTAAAAAAAGGATGTATATTTTATTCTTGGATATAGTATTATTTAAATGACAATTATGTCAAGTTAATAAGAGTTCAAGTCTGTATTATTAATGACTTTTTGTTTTGTTTTGTTTTTTGTCGGTCTTGAATTCTGGGCCTGAGTGCTGTCCCTGCATTTTTTAGCCCAAGGCCTAATGCTCTTCCACTTGAGCCACAGTGCCATTTCCAGTTTTCTGGTGCTTCACTGGAGATAAGAGTCTCACAGACTTTCCTACCCAGGCTGGCTTTGAGCCGTGATCCTCAGATCTCAGCCTCCTGAATAGCTAGGATTACAGGCGTGAGCCATCAGAGCCGGCTTAATGATTTTTCTGATTTTTTTTTTAAGTTTCTGATTGACATATTGAAAATACTGATAGGAAACAATATGATGTTTTAATACATGTAGACATTTGCATAGTGATCAAATCAGTAAAAAATAACATATCCGAGCCAGGTGCTGGTGGCTCACGCCTATAATCCTAGCTACTCAGGAGGCTGAGATCTGAGGATCGCGGTTCAAAGCCAGCCCAGGCAGGAGAGACCATGAGACTCCTATCTCCAATAAACCACCAGAAAACCGGAAGTGGCGCTGTAGCTCAAGTGGTAGAGCGCTCGCCTTGAGCTGAAGAGCTGAGGGACAGTGCCCAGGCCCAGAGTTCAAGCCCCACGACCGACAAAATAAAAGTAACATATCTGTCATCTTAAACATTTATCATTTGTGCTGAGAAAAATATATTTTGAAATCTTAGATAACATTTTTGTTAGAGTTCTAATATTACACAGTACAATTTTTTCCTATCTCACTATAATTTTGTACCTACTGAAGAATCAGTACTTATATTGAGTAAACTATTGAAATCTTCTGATGTACCTTGTCTTTTTGGTTTTGTCAGTTTTTGGTTCATAATTTAAGAACTCTGTTATTATATGCCTATCTATTTCTAATTGTTACATCTTCCTGTCTCTTGAGGTTTTTTTTTTTTTTTTTTTTTTTGGGTCGGGTCGTGGGGCCTGAACTCTGGGCCTGGGCACTATCCCTCAGCTCTTCAGCTCAAGGCTAGCGCTCTACCACCTGAGCCACAGCATCACTTCCAGCTGAGGAATCGAACCCAGGGCCTCAGGCATGCAAGGCAAGCGCTCTACCACTGAGCCACCTTCCCAGCCACTCTTGAGGTTTTTAAATTCTTATATGATCTTTGACTCTGTTCATATTTTTTGTCTTTAATCATTTGTCAGATTTTAATTTTAGTCCTTCTAGCTTTTTTATGCTTAATATTACAGAGCACTTTTTCCCCCCACTCTCAGTTTTAACCAGTCTTGGGTTTCTTAGATCACTTTAAATGGATCTTGGTTTTTTTTTTTTGTGCCAGTCCTGGGGCTTGAACTCTGGGCTTGGGTGCTATCCCTGAGCTCCTTTTTGACCAAGCTAGCACTCTACCACTTGAGGCACAGCACCACTTCTGTAAACTGATTTTTTTTTTTCTTTTGGTCGGTCATGGGGCTTAAACTCGGCCTGGTGCTGTCCCTGCGCTCTTCAGCTCAAAGCTAACACTCTACCACTTGAGCCACAGTGCCACTTCTGGTTTTCTTGTGGGTGATTGGAGATAAGAGTCTCAAGGACTTTCCTGCCCGGGCTGGCTTTGAACCATGATCCTCAGATCTCAGCCTCTGAGTAGCTAGGATTACAGATGTGAGCCACCATTGCCCAGCTAACTGATTTTTTTTTTTTAATTATGGAAACAGCTTTATTCTCTGAAGTATATGTTTTCTTGTAATAGTAGTCAGTTAAGTTGTATAAACCCAAACTTTAAATTTTGTCTCATGTGGTATGCAGCAGCAAAAGAAGTTTTTAGTGTGCTGTTTTTAGTGTGGTTCCTTGGTACTTGTCCTGCCAATGTAATCCCTGTGGTCTCACTAAAATTTGGGCAGTTAATTCTCAGATTTGGAGGCTTATCCTTTCAGTCGTTCCATTGCACTGGGGTTTTCACAGTTCTCATTGTTCTGCCATTCCAAACTACCCATGGACATCTAACAACAGTAAAACTTCTGTTTTGTGCATGTGTGTCTGTTTGTGTGTGTGTTGTTTATATGTGTGTTGGTCCTGGGGCTTGAACTCTCAGGGTCTGGGCACTGTCCCTAAGCTTCTTTTGCTCAAGGCTAGTGCTTTACCACAGCTCTACTTCTGGCTTTTTACTGGTTAATTGAAGATAAGAGTCTTAGGGAGTTTTCTTGCCTGGGCTGGCTTCAAACTTTGATCCTCAGATCAGCCTCCTCAGTAGCTAGGATTATAGGTGTAAGGCATCAGCACCCAGCTGGTTTTTGTTTCTTATATTGTGTACATGGTATACACTTCAAAATGAAGCATACTTGTGAATTTCATTATTATTTTATTTATTTATTTAGCCAGTCCTGGGGCTTAAACTCTGGGCCTGGGTGCTGTCCCTGAGCTTTTGTGCTTAAGGCTACCACTGTACCACTTGAGCTACAGCTTCAGTTCTGGCTTTTTTTTGTTAGTTTTAGTGGAGATAAGAATCTCACAGACTTTTTTGCCCAGCCTGGCTTTGAACCATGATTCTCAGATCTCAGCTTGCTGAGAAGCTAGGATTTTAGGCATGAGCCACCAGTGCCTGGCTAGTAGTATTGTTTTTGTCTGCTTATTTTTATCTCCCATAAAATAGTAATAACCCTGAGATTGATGTAAGGTTAAATGGGATAAAGACAAAAGTCAGTTACTCAGCCACATTTTGTGGTTCTGAGGATTGAACCCATCCTCTAGGACTTTAGGCATGTCCCCAGCTCTTTTGTTTGTATTTTGTTTCTGAAATAGGTTCTTCCTTGCTTTGTTTGATTGATTCTGGAAGTTGAGAGCCTCTTGGTTTAGCCACTCACATAGCTGGAATTAAAGGAGTGTGCTACCACACCTTGTTTTTGTTTGTGTATTGTTGGGAGCAGTGGTAATGATGATGATTTGGAGAATTTTAGGTCCCTAAAATAGATTATGGGTTAATGAGTTACTTGGGAAAGAGGCAAAAAAAAAAAAAAATTGCAGTTATTTGTGAGAATATCATGAAAAAATTGATTTTTTATTATAAATTTTAAAACTTTCTATCTCTTCTTCTTCTTTTTTTTTGGTCAGTCATGAGCCTGGGCCTGGGTCTGGGCCTGGGCACTGTCCCTCATCTCTTCAGCTCAAGGCTAGTGCTCTACCAAGACTTGAGCCACAGCACCACTTCCTGTTTTCTGGTGGTTTATTGGAGAAAAGAGTATCACGGGCTTTCCTGGCTGAGCTCACTTTGAATTGCGATCCTCAGATCTCAACCTCCAGAGTAGCTAGGATTACAGGTGTGAGCCACCAGTACCTGGCTTCTACCTCTTAATTATATAGATTCAGAATTCTTTTTGTACATGCAAACTATAAAGGCAAGATAGTCTTCTTTCAAAATAGTAAAAGCACTGGATATATTGAATTTCCAGTTTAGTTTAACAAATGGCTGCTATTCCTAAAGCAATTAAGTGTTTTAGAGCAATAGAACATAAACTGCTTAATAAGTCCCTTTTATTGGGAGGAGAGAGAAAGCAGGGGGGAAACATGGGTCCTAGGCCTTGAATTCAGGACCTGGGTGTCCCTGTTTCTTTTGCTCAAGAGTAGCACTCTACCACTTGAGCCACAGCACCACTTCTGGCTTTTTCTGAGTAGTTTATTGGAGGTAAGTCTCATGATCTTTGCTGCCCAGGCTGGCTTTGACTGAGAGCCTCAGATTTCCAGCCTCCTGAGTAGCTAGGATTACAGGAGTAAGCCACTAGCCCCCTGCTGCATTTTTTGGTAGTAAAAATGATAAAGTTTATTAGGAAAGAAATACGAAAGAGAAGGGAGGTTGCATGGCACAATATTATGAGAACCACTCTGCATTTTTAGCATCTACGGTTAGGTTATTTATGATTATATAAATTCTACATTGTATGTAAAACTGCTTTATAAACTTTAAACCCATTATTACTAGAGTGATTTTTACAATTAATGTTTTTGGGGTTTTTTGTTTTGTTTTGTTTGTCAGTTGTGGGGCTTGAACTCTGGGCGCTTTCCCTCAGCTCTTCAGGTCAAGGAGAGCTTTCTACCCTGCTTACACAGCACCACTTCCAGTTTTCTAGTGGTTTATTGGAGATAAGAGTCTCACGGACTTTCCTGCCTGGGCTGGCTTTGAAACGTGATCCTCAGATCTCAGCCTCCTGAGTAGCTAGGATTGCAGGCATGAGCCACCGATGCCCGGCTACTCCTAGCTTTTTTGTGCCCGGCTCAATTAATATTATTTTAACCTTTTTTATGTTATAAAAATTATTTTATGCTGGATTCTGGTGGCTCACACCTGTAATCCTAGCTACTCAGGAGGCTGAGATCTGAGGATCGTTGTTCAAAGCCAGCCCAGGCAGCAAAGTCTGTGAGACTCTTATCTCCAATTAACCACCAGAAAACCAGGAGTGGTGCTGTGGCTCAAGTGGTAGAGCACTAGCCTTGAGCTGAAGAGCTCAGGGACAAGGGCCCAGGCCCAGAGTTCACCCACAACTTCCCCTCCCCCCCTCAAAAAAAATTGTGCCAGTCCTGGGGCTTGAATTTAGGGACTGAGTACTGTACTTGAGCTTTTATTCTCAAGGCTAGTCCTCTGCCGCCTGAGCTCCCTTTCTGGCTTTTTGATGGTTCATTGGAGAGAAGAGTCTCATGGGCTTTCCTGCCCAGGCAGACTTTGAACCACAATTCTCAGACCTCAGCCTCCTGAATAGCCAGGATGAATCACAGGATGAACAACCTGTTGTTGTTGTTTTTTCTCCCCCTTAAGCTAGGGCAATATTAGGGTTTGAATTCAGAGCCTTACACTAGCTAGGCTCGAGCAATACCACTGATCCATCCCTCCAGCTCTGTGTGTATGTGTTTGTGTGTGTGTGTTATTTAGGATAGAACCTCCTCCTTCTCTTCTTCCTCCTCCTCCCCCTCCCCCTCCCCCTCCTCCCTCTCTTCCTTCCTTTCCCTCTCCTCCTCCCCCTCTTCTCCCTCTCTTCCCTGTCTCCTCCTCCTCCTTCTCTTCCTCCTGCCCTCCTCTCCTCCCCTTCTCTTCTTCCTTCTTCTCTTTGATCCACCCCCCTTCTTTCCCGCCCAGGCTGGCTTCAAATCCAATCATCAGATCTTAGCCTCCTGAGTAGTTAGGATTACAGGCATGAGTCACCAGTGCATACAGGTTCAAGCTGACCTGGTCCAATTTCCCTTCTGTGGTCATTTGGGCTTATTTGTTTCACCTGGCTTGGCATCAGAATCTTTCTCATCCCAACCCCTCAAGTAGCTAAGATTATAGGCTTGAGCCATGGGTGCTGGGCTTTGTCATTCTAATTATTTTTAAGCATTCAGTTAAATGGAATTAAACACATTTACAATATATAATCATAACACTATAGCCAAAACATCCTTCATCCTCAATATAAACTTGTTACTCACTAAACAGTAACTCCCCATGTCTCCTGTTCCCCAGCCCCTGGAAATCTATATTCTATTTGTGTCTCTGGTTATACTAAGAACTTCATATAAATGGAGTCAATGTAAAGACAATATTTGTCTTTTTATGTCTGGCTTATTTTATTTAGCATAATGTGTTGTAACAGGTTAACATTTCTTTTTCTCTCTACTATTACATTATATGTAAATGCTATAGTAATTTTCAAAGACAATTTAGATAGACTTTTTATAGTAAAATATACCAAGTTGTAGAAAAGCCTTTAAGTGAAGAACAAGGAAAAATGTAAGGGCTGTTCAGGGGAACATTTGAGATGCTAATAACTAAATGTAGATCTTATATAAGTTTAAAAAAAAATGATCAGAGTGAGAGTGAGCATTTGTGGAAAGAATGATGTGTGTTAGTTATTTCTCCTAGATGGTTTCCCCTGACCAAAAAGTTTTCCTGAGCCAGTAATCCTAGCTGCTCAGGAGGCTGAGATCTGAGGATCACGGTTCAAATCCAGCCCGGGCAAGCAAAGTCCATGAGACTGTTATCTCCAATAAACCACTAGAAAACCGGAAGTGGCCCTGTGGCTCAAGTGGTAGAACGCTCGCCTTGAGCTGAAGAGCTGAGGGACAGCACCCAAGCCCGAGTTCAAGCCCCACAACCAACCAAAAAAAAAAAAAAAAAAGGTTTTCCTTTCTAGATAGCTTTTTTTTTTTGGTATTTTTTTTTTTTGGTCATGGGGCCTCAACTCTGGGTCTGGGTGCTGTCCTACTACCGGAGCCACAGCGCCACTTCCTGCTTTTTCTGCTTATGTGGTGCTAAGGAATCGAACCAGGGCCTCATGCATGTGAGGCAAGCACTCTACTACTGAGCCACCTTCCCAGCCCCTCTAGATAGCTTTTAAGATATATATTCTTAATTATGTTTTCAACTTCTTAATTGGTGTCATTTTTTTTTTTCTGGCTGTGCATTTGGTGGATTTTCTTCTAACTTTATGTAATATCTGTTTACAGATAGGAGAAAGAATCCGAGTCATCTTGGACATGGAAGATAAGACTTTAGCATTTGAACGTGGATATGAGTTCCTGGGGGTGGCCTTCAGAGGACTTCCAAAAGCCTGCTTATATCCAGCAGTTTCTGCTGTATATGGCAACACAGAAGTGACTTTGGTTTACCTTGGAAAACCTTTGGATGGATGACAGTGGCTTTTTTGGGTTGAAAGACAGAGTAGAGGAGACCTACTTGTGGAAAGTAGAATCATGAAGTGACAGTCATGTGTGCATGTCCAAGAAACATCCTGAAAACACATGAAGTTGTAAACTGGAGAAGCAACTCTACAGCAGAGATTATCTTAGTGTTTCCTCTTTCCACTGGGCCAGAATAATCCTCAGGGTTGCAGTTGGTTGAGTGGGCAGTTAACATATGCATGTTACAACAGATTTATCTCTTAAGTTGTCAATGTGTTCTTTCCAGCGTTAAAGGTGAGATGTTAGAGGTGCTGTAAAAGGGATAAGATAAGGAAAAACAAGATTTTTAAGTAGTTTGTTTGTGAAGAAAGATTGATTCCATCTTACAACTGCCTGTTCTTTCTCCAGTCTCCAGTCCTTTTTTTTTTCCCCCCCAGCCAGCTTGACTATTAGATAAGTATGAAACTGGTTGGGGTTTATTTAATATTTTTAATATATTGAGAAGCATGGTCTGCCTGGACTGCACTTCTCTAGCAATGAGAAATAAAATTGTGCAGCTATTTTAAAAGTTGTATATACAATATGTGTGTAAAAAAAAAAAGGACAAAGGGTTGCTTTGTTCTAGTTAAATTTCTTAAACAGACCACTACATGGTACAAAATTAGAATAATATTCGGGGAAAATTGGGTAACCATAAAAAAGAGGACTTTAAGAGGACATGTGTTGTGTTGGCTCATTTTGTGTTATTTTTGGTTTACAGTTCCTATAGCTATTACAGTTGTCTTTAAAAAAACAAAAACAATAAAAACCCCAACCAGCATCATGATAATGGTAAAGATTCCTCACCTCCTGACTTAAAATTGAGGGAAGGTAATTCTTCTAATTATACCTATATAAGTAAAGATGATTCTAAAACATAATAGTAATATGCATCTTTTGGTACCTGGTTTCATTTTTTGGCTTTCTGAGAAAGTGTCTCATTTTACAGGACAATGCTATGTGCTCTTGTAGTCCTCAAATATGAGAGCTGTTTGCCATAAACCGTAGGAAAAGAAATGGTTAATGGTTCTTTCATTTTCTAACTTTATAATGGTGTAGATGTTGTCAGATAATCTTAATTTAATATTGTTTACAACAAGCAACAGTCTAAGCCTCAAACTCTTCATTGGGGCTATCAAGAAAATGTTTACTCACCCATATGAAATAGCGCCAACCTGAGCTCAGGTTAAGAATATTCTTAATCTCATTATAGGTAATTGCTCCCATGGGACTTGAAATACAACACATTGTGCTGAAAATTTAGAGTTGGCAATATTTTGAAAGTTGTACTGGAGAAGAGATTAACATTTCCTATTTTACCTGATAAATCTTATCTCTTCACTAACTCTTGAATTAATAATCCAACACATAAGAGCTGAGATTTTTCTTTTGTTAGAAGAGAAACATCTTTCTGTGTGAAAGTATAAATTGTACGGTTTCAGATACATAAGAATTGATCAAAGCAAGTGAAATCTTTGTACTTTTTAGATTATTGCTCTATTTATATTTTGCTTTAAATCTAACAAAATTAGGGACAGCAAGCAGCTTGCTGGGGTTCTTGGGTTGCTCCTAGAGAGTTAAAATGAACAATACTCCGATGAAGCAGGAGATTTCAGCCATAGAACAAAAATTTGTTGTTGCTACCTGAAAGGTTTACAAGTATTTATTATGTTTCTGGGCCATTGCTTGAAAAGTGAAATTTGTTATTTCCTTTTGATAGCCCTATCAAGAAGAAACTTAGTTGTATAGAGTGAAGTTGTATGTGAAATATATTTGAGACTGTAGTTGACACAGAAATTGATTTTTCAACTCAACTCAATTTGATGAGATGTAAAATTTGACTAACGATGAGAACTGGGTCAGGATGAAAAATGACTGTTTAGACAATGATGAAGTCCTTTAAATACTTGTTGCATTTCAGGTTGTGATACAGCCAATTTCAAGAGCTTTTGCTGATAATTTCGTTTGTAACTTCTGTTTGTCCCATTAGTAAACATTTGTAACCTGGTCTTGAAGGTGCTGATTGGAAAAACATATAGCAAACACATAGGTGTTTCATATTGAACCTAGGATCAGATAATTGCCTGACTATTTAACAAGCCATTTGGATCTCAAAGATTTGAATTTGCAAGTTTTATAAAATAGAAGTTGCTAGTTAGTGTGAATATTGGGGGAAATGAAGAGCCTTCATTTATAACCTGATAAATGACTGGTTACTAGAGACTAATAGCAGCTATCCAGATTATTAAAATGAACTGTTCAATGTTCAAGGAAATCCCTTTTTCATTGGTGCTGAGAGCATTTAAGTAGAAGACAGTTGCACCTGAAGGTGGTATGTAACTCACCCTAAATCATTGCTTCTCAACCTTGGCTGTGCTTTGGAATCACTTCAAAATGTGTTTTTAAAAATATTTATGCTTAGATCCCATGCCATAGTTTCTGATGTTGGTTTGGGATATGACTTGACCATAAGGATTTTTTTTTTAACTTTCTGATGATGTCAATATGACATTGAGAACAGTTGATCTAAAATTCACATAGGATTTTCTTATCTGCAAAACAAAATTCTTGCTCCCTCCCTTCACTACCTCACAAGGATATTGAAGGTAAAAGAAGTAATGGGAAAGTGTGATGTGAACAAAAAGTACTATTGGGAGACAATAGCACTTTCAGCCACAACAATGATCAGGAAAAAATGTGCAGTCCAATTTACAGTGTTGCCTTGGGAGACAGGGAGCATTCCTTTGGTTCTTTAATGAAGCATGCAGATGTGGAAGCAGACATTACTATTCCTCTGAATCATACTATGGTCTTCTGTTATACTCGAGATCAGCTGTTTTAATTATCTGGTTTGACGTAGGAAGGAAGAAATATTAAGGGGGAAGTCTGTAATGTTCATTGCTCATAATTCATTAAAATTTTTTCGTACAAGGAATTCTGTGGTTTAGAAATCATTTCATAGTTGCCATTACAGTTTCATTATTTGACTTTTCAGTGTTCAGCTGTTTATTTCATCTTATTCTTATTCCTGTAAGTTTAAATACAGATTTGATTATGTACCTAAAGCAAGAGGGCTTTGGTCAGTTGAATGTTTGAAATTGTGTCTCAATGATTAGGCATCTTTTGCCCTTTAGATAAAACTTGATTAGGGAGCTTTAAAATTAACAAAGACCCAAACCCTACTGAATTTATCATTTTAACTCCGTAAAGTACTATTTATATAGATTGTAATATTAGAATTTTTAATTGTTTTAAGAAATGAGCATTGTTTTAAGAGATAGAAGCTTAAAGAGTTTTAAATATTAATGTTGTACCCAAGACCACACAATTGGGACTGTGGGATCTAGGACCACTTTGAAGCCTTGTATATTAGGAAAGAATAGTCCATACCCAACCCAGATGCTGTCCTCAGAAAGCATTCTGCATATGCTCTAGCTGAATGTAATTGCTCCTTTGACATTGTTCTTATTTTATATTTTATCTGTACTAACTCATATTGTGTGACTTGTACCTTGTACAAAATATTTATATTTATTGATTATTTATTGGTGTCTTAGCTCCCTTACATTAGGATGGGACCTTTGTTGGACTCATCTTTGTGTTCACATCTCTAAGCTCAGTAGGAAGCTGCTCACATAGATGCTGTGGAACAGACAAAAGCTCCTCTAAACTTATAGGAACAAAGACAGGTGAGAAAGACATTCTCTGCCGTAGGTCAAGGAACAAGGAAGTTAAGGGATGCAAAGCTGAGGCTAGCAAAGAAATAATTACTACAGATGCATTTTAGCCATTCCTCTTTATTTACAAATATTGTAGATTTCATATTTGTTTAGAATTGAAGTTAGAATTCTGTATTTTAATTTTTTGGGATTCTGTTGTTTTGCTTTAGTTTCCTAATAAAAAGTTAAAACAAACCTTAATTACCTGTGATTGCTTACATCTTATAAGGAAATTTGTTAACTCTTTGGTCAAAATTGGGGTGCTGTAGTGGCTAAAGGTAGTGATGGGACTGACATGAATTCCATGGCTTCTAGTTTACTACATTCATAAGGGAATACTATAGAGAACAGTAATCTCTCGGGTCCTGTCCTTACTGGCCCTCCCTGCAGCTAACAGTTGACTATGTAGTTGTTTGCTAACTCCTCTATTGGGTGGATAAGGGACTCCTGTGAAGCAAAACCTTCCCAGAGGATCAATTCATCATGTTGTTAAAGTTGTTTGATATAGTAATATGTTAAAATTTATACAAGCCATTTTAATTTTTGAAAAGGTAGGGGTGAAATTTTCATGATTGGAAAAAGATCAGAAACAGCTTTACTAGGCTATTGTCCTAGTTTCTTTTTTGGATCCTTCCTCAAAACAATTGCTTCTTATTTAATGCATTCAATAGAATACTGTTGACAGAACATACTTCTGTCAACACCACTTCTGGTTTTCTGGTGGTTAATTGGAGCTAAGAGTCCTATGTACTTTCCTGCCTGGCTTGCTTTGAACCACAATCCTCAGGTCTCAGCCTCCTAAGTAGCTAGGATTATAAGCAGGAGCCACCACCACCCAACTTAGAATACATTTTGATGGAAGTAATCACTCAAGATTTCAGACTTGGGGCTGGGAAGGTGGCTCAGTGGTAGAGTGCTTGTCCTGCATGCAGGAGCCCCTGGGTTCAATTCCTCAGCACCACATAACCGAAAAAGCCAGAAGTGGCACTGTGGCTCAAGTGGTAGTGGGTAGTGTACTATCCTTGAGCTGAAGAGCTGAGGGACAGTGCCCAGGCCCAGAGTTCAAGCTCCATGACTGGCAAAAAATAAAAATAAAAAAAATTTCAGACTTGTACGTAGGATACTCACTGACAGCTCAATTTCTGTTCTTTTAAAAATATAGCCAGGCATTTGTGGCCCCTACTGGTAATCCTAGCTACTAAAGAGGCTGAGATCTGAGGATAGCAGTTCAAAGCTAGCCTGGTCAGGAGAATCTGTTAGACTATCTCCAATAAACTCAGAAAAAAAAGTTGGAAGTGGGCCGGGCGCTGGTGGCTCACGCCTGTAATCCTAGCTACTCAGGAGGCTGAGATCTGAGGATCACGGTTCAAAGCCAGCCCAGGCAGGAAAGACTGTGAGACTCCTATCTCCAATAAACCACCAGAAAACCGGAAGTGGTGCTGTAGCTCAAGTGGTAGAGTGCTCGCCTTGAGCTGAAGAGCTGAAGGACAGCGCCCAAGCCCAGAGTTCAAGCCCCACGACTGACCAAAAAAAAAAAAAAGTTGGAAGTGGTGCTGTGGCTCAAGTAGTAGAATGCTAGCCTTGAACAAAAGAAACTCAGGACAGTGCCCAGGTCTAGAGTTCAAGCCCCAGGACCAACAACAAACAAAACAGGGAAGTCAAATCCTGCCTATTCTATATGCAAGGCATAGTGTATTTCTGATCCCTTCTTTCCTCTATAAAATGGGGGTGGAAGGTGCATGGCTTTGAGTTCTATTTTCCTTGGAGAAAGGCTCTGTGAGGTTATTTACTAAAATGCTAATGTCCCAAGTTGGTTAGTTAGAGGCATATTAAAATGTGAATAGGCTAAATAGCTTTTTTTTTTGGGGGGGGGTCAGTCGTGGGGCCTGAACTCTGGGCCTGGGTGCTGTCCCTCAGCTCTTCAGCTCAAGGCTAGCACTGTACCACTTGAGCCACAGCGCCACTTCCGGCTTTTTCTGCTTATATGGTGCTGAGGAATCGAACCCAGGGCCTCATGCATGCAAGGCAAGCAATCTACCACTGAGCCACCTTCCCAGACCCCTAAATAGCTTATTTTATTTTATTTTTTTTCGGTCATGGGGCTTGAACTCTGGGCCTGGGCACTTTCCCTCAGCTCTTCAGCTTAAGTCTAGAGCTCTACTACTTAAGCCACAGTGTCACTTCTGGTTTTCTGGTGGTTTATTGGAGATGAGAGTCTCACAGACTTTTCCTGCCCAGACTGGCTTTGATGCTCCGATCTCAGCCTCCTGAGTAGCTAGGATTACAGGCGTGAGCCACTGGCGCCCAGCTTTTGCTTATTTTTAATATAGCTAACTTTTTTTCCTTTTCCTAGCCAGTGTTTAAAGGGTAATAAAGTGTTAAATTATGTTTTCTTGGCCACCTACATCTTTGGAGGAGAGGAGACTTTAGGTTAAAATGAGAGTTGTCATGCCATCTCTCCGTCTTATAGGCTGAACAGCACAGTGGTAGTGGGGACTAGCTGCATTAAATCTTAGGAAGCAGTTGAATGTATCCACCCTTCCAAGCATAGCCTAATGGAACAGTGAACTGACGTAAGTTGTGGAATCTCATGGAACTGTTAGTGACTCTAAGCCACACTGCATTTTGTTTGTTCTATAGTTGAGACACAGTGCCTGAAGTTATGAAGTAATCTCCCTTGGCACCCAGCCACTAGTTACCCCTTAGTAATTTAAAAAGAAGAAATGATAATTCAGAATTCACTAAATATTTCCTTTCACTCATTATATTCCGGGTTGTTGCCAGGTACTAGGGATGGAGAAATAAAAAACAAAAAACACCCAAACCAAAGTAGCTTGTTCTTAGATTATTCACATGCTGCTATAAGAACAAATGTAGAAGTGGATTACCATAAAGCAGTGGAATAATTGTGGGATAATAGTGGGATTTTTATATTAGGTCTAATGTGGCATAGGAGAGTGAATATATTTGACAAACTGGAATGATACCTAGGTGGTATTACAGGAGATGAGCAGACAAGTTGCATGTATGCACACTGTGTCTGTGTGTGTCTGAGTGCATGTGAGCGCCTGTCAGTGCACTGCTACAATGGCTTAAAAACTCAGGACCTCAACCTTACTAGTTTTCTTGGTGCTACCACTTGAATCATTCCTCCAGCTCTGATTTTTACCATTCTCATATAGTATTCTGTCTGGGCTGATTCTATCTGGGCTTTGATTATCAGATCTCAGGTTCCTGTGTAGCTAGGATTAGAAGTGTGAGCTACCAGTGCTCAGCATCCCATCATTTGATGGGGCCCAGCCTGCACAGGAATTTGGGAAGCAAGGCTAAGATATAGGCTGGAGCCAGTCTGTAGATTTTGGAATAAGATGTAAGAAAAGGATTATTGAGGGGTTTGAACATTATTCTCTTAATAATATAGTCTTAAATATTTTTCCTCATAATAAGCATTGGCTTTAGGAAGGTAACCATGCTGCTGATAAGCCAAAAAAAAGACCAGATAATTTAGGCCTTATTCAAAGCCTTTCACTGGGCACCAGTGACTGCTTTTGAACAGGCTTGTACGCACAAGCCAGGTATTGGAGACATTTCCCACACATTTGTTTTGGTGCATGGCTCTATTTAAATACTGTTTTATTTCCTGGACCTGACCCATCTTCTCATGTTCTCCCTGGGGTCTAGCAGCATCGTTTCAGCAGGGGGCAGCAGCAGCACACTTTTGGTGCTCAATGGAGGGTGCAGGAGGGTACCCTTGGGGAGGAGTTTTGCAGGAGGAAACCCCATAACATGAAAGAAGCTCGGTTGTTCCTCAGTGCACCCTGTGGTGAGTTGAGCCATGTGTTTCTTGAGGAAAAGGGAGGAGGAGGGCACCTCTAGGACTTTTATGGAGTTCC